TCCAAGATAAAGCAGTGTAATGCTTTACTGCCTATTATTCTGACCAGCTGCAGTTCATAGCAATGATCACCAGCTGTGCAGCTGGTCACTTTTCCAGTTGGTTTGGCCAGTAGTGTGTCGCCTGGTAGTCATTCTGGCATTTTTTACTCTCTGCGAAGGATTTAGCGGTTTTCTGGAAGTATTTTGGCAGGGCTTCAGCCATTTCTAGATGTTTTAGTTTTGCGTTACCATAGCGTCTAGAATGTTGCCAATACTAATCCAAAATGATGGGGCAGCTTTCGACTAGAACTGCTCATAATGCGTAACAGTCATTTCGTATTTCAGCCATTCAGGTAACAGCTCGTACTTAGCGTCAAAATGCTCTTTGAAGGTGGTTTATTCATATAGACTGAGCTTTTAATCATGCGTTTTTCGAGCATTCCTGTGCCTCTGTGTTTGTGTCTGTGCTATCTTGACATGCTCTTTTATTCACCTTGTTTCTTCGATGTACTTTTTTTAAACAATCTGTATAAAAAATTACAGGTGCAGAGGCTGGCAAAGGCGCGGAAGCCGGAGGCAAAGGTGCGGAAGCCGGAAGCAAGGGTATGTGCATTGAAAAAATTATTCGCGCTTCGTTCTGAAGCTTTTTGCATCTGGAAGGGTCGGAACTGGATCATGAAAGTCCGACGAATTGAGTACGAGAACGCTGCACCTAGAAAATTAGATGGTGGGAAATAAGCTTTCACGATTTCGAATGGGAGATGTGATTTTGTCCGAGAAAAATGATTCTGGTCAAGTTGCGCAAAATTTGAACAGCTTCCTTTTTACTTTTTAACCATGCGCATAGCACCATGTGCTGAGGGTTAAAAAAGTGAAAAATATTTGCAAAAAAATTTGTGCAATTTACGATCTATCCATATGCGTGTTTCTCTTGCTTTACTTTTATCCACATATACCTACTTACGTTTTCTTCTGAAATCAAAGAATATAGCGTATTCTCTTCATGACTTGCTGTAACCGTACAAACGGCAAGTATCTAGATTGAATTTTCTGAAAACGACACTAATAAATGGAAATCAGTGATTCATAGGTCCTGCTCGACTTGCATTTTACAAAAAAATTAAATTTTTGATGGTCATTTTAGAGTCAAAGGTAGAGCCGCTTCCGTCATTGTTTCAGAGGTGAAGGACTCAGAAGTTAGTCCGAATCGTAGCAAGTGCTAATAGCAACCACTCGCTGGGCATTGCTGTCGATCCTGTTTCGAGGGTTGCTTATGAACAAGCTAATAACGGGCTTGATCCTCGGACATAGCCATTGCCAATTTACACTCGGAACTACTGACAAAATCATAGAAAAACAGATTTTTTCACCGGCTGAATCGCACCCTCAGCCTGCTACTCGCCCTTATGGTGCATGGGGAAATAGTGTTGTTCTCGTGTGGTTTTTTCCGAAAAATTGTATTAAAACTAAAAAATTTAATCAATTTTGACTTAATTCTTAATGCATTTCCTCAGAGAACTTATTAAGGAAAGAAAGAAAAAACATACTGCCAACCAAAGTAATTAGCCAAATAGTAATTCGTTTACTTACCACCGCTGCCAGATTAATGACAAAGTTAGTGACTAAAGTTGACTGGGAAATTGACATCCAGATAGGAAGAGGTGCTATTTTGTCAAAATATCATTTTGGCCACAGAAGGAGACACCTCCACAATAATATTTAGCTGAGTTGCTTAGAATGTAAAATTTGCAATCCATCCTTGCTCTTCTAAAAAAGCTTTTTTTAGAGGGCGTAAAGGAACCAGCAGCGGCAGAGCCAAGTAATTTTTTTGGTACCATTCTATCTGTTGTCGAGTTTTATGCGAATCCATTTATCAACTTTTACTTTGTTAACGCATGCGACTCACTATTTCGCATCGCCCATGCTTTTTGATGCTGAGATAAGCAGTTGTTTGACCTGCAAAATGTCTTATGGCTTATCAGTATTTCAGGTGCTTTGATGTGGAGGAATAAGGGCAGCTATCGAGGAGGTGCAGGGAGGCATGTAGTGTAGTAAGTGGAACCCTCTTTTGCAAAAGGGTATAGGTTAAAGGAATCAACATTCCGATGTGCTCACATCCGGGTACATCAAACCTACCACTGCATCACCGTCCTTTTGTTCCTGGCTCAGCCAGGGAGCATTGAGGCAGCACAAGCCTTTCCTTTCTCCTCCAAGCAGTGTTCAAATTTGTGGCAACTTCTTTGCTGGATTTTCGTAGTTTTTCGCGACATGTATTTCTAAACAAAAAGCTTTGCTAAATTCGTTCCTTGTTTGCTTTTTCCGTGCATTGTGCAACATGACCTTTCATGCATGCTTTGCAATAAAATCAAATGAGCTGTAGAGGGGTTAATTATTTATTCCAGAAAACGCCTTGAAACTGGATGTTAAAGCGCGGAAAATGGACCCATTCCACTTGAAATGTGCAACTTTTCCTGAAGATGTTTTGGTAATGGCGTTAAAAATATTGTTCTCGTCACTTGGCACTTTTTATTCTTGCAGCAGTCCAGGTGGTAATCCCGAAAATGCGGTCGGAAATTCCACCAGAAATATTGAAGAGCAACGAGCAAATGAGGGCTCTCATAGACGCGTTGATTGCGGAAAACAAACGTCTAGAGGACTTAGCAGGAAATCTAATGAAGGAAATTCAGTTCCTTCGAGAAGCTCTTCTCTCGACCGTACAGAAATTGGGTAAACGCTTCCACTGTTTTCAATTTGTTAAACTGTTAATGTTTTAAACTGTTACCAGTTGTGTTAAGTGGAAGTGAAACATGGAATACCGGGTTCGCTAAGGAGGATTTATTAGCTGTCACCATGAAAAAACGCATCTTGGGAAAAAAGTTATGCTTTCTTCTAACGGATGGTTCCTGTTAGCTCGTTCTCGATTACTTCCGAGTGTTCCCAGCTCTTTGAAGAGTCAGTTGTGTAAAGAGTTTAAATTTTTGTCTTTTGACTAGCCAGTAACGAACATTAAGAGAGCATAATCAGTGAGATGAAGAGTCCACTTGAAAGTGTTTATGGAATGTGTTTATGGAATTGAATGAACGCTCAGATCCTAGAAACGAACAGGGTAGAGAAGTTGCCATCTGCATCACTGACGAGGACGGGCATGATGTTATTCAGAAGAATAAATTAGAAACATTGTTAATCATCATTACCATCGTTTCGTCTTCTTGTTAATATTCTTTGAGCTGTTCGGGATTATTTCTACGAAATTTATCGTACTTTGAAGCACTGTTCAGCTGTTCTTTTGTCAACGTGTTTCTTTTTTCCACTGATGCAATTGGCAAATTACCCAAAACACATTCCATGTCAACCTACATTTTTCAATACCATGAAGGACAGATGAGCCAGCAAAAAGTTCCGAACAGAGGACACGAAATAAAGGATGTGTATTCGTTCAGCTGGACGATTATTAAATCTAGCGAAAAATTCTCAGAAACATGTTAAGTGCAAAGAGTATAAAACTTGAATCGGAAGAGCTGGCACCAAATAATTATGGCAGAGTGATGAATGAACGAGAGATTGCGGACAGAGGATGTACCTATGCAAACGTATTTTCTTGATACTGCTTTGCAGCAACTGGCATGGTGTTCTTAAAGTTCATATTACCCTTTCATGATGTGTTTTTATGCGTTTTGTACTATGCAACAGCTGCACAATACGCGTACTGTCACAGGGTTTTTGTCTGTGTTTGTGTGTGTATGCCCGTAGTAACTTGTCCACTACTTTCAACACGGGAATTACAAAAGATAAGAAGCTGAAAATTTAGGGGAATTCCCCTACCCACGTGTGACCTTCCAAACTTAAACTCAGAGCAGTGAAAATCGTTAGCAGGCAATCCTTCGGTGGACGGAATTGCACAAAACGCATGATCGTACCGGCTGCCCTGCTGCGCCGCTATTTATTTATTTTGCATCGTATAAATGCAGAAAAAAAAAAACACTTTATGGAGGGGTAATATGAACTTTATAAATAGCATAGAGGCGTTGTTATCTTGAATCTGAACGCGATACTCAGTGGGAGAAATGCTATTATTTGCTGACATCTGCCATGCGTCCCTTCGTAGCTCTAGGGGTCAACACCAGTTTTTTCGCAACTCTGAGGAATGTGTAGGGGAGCGCGGACCTTTCTCTTCATCAGTACATTTTCTTTCGTTTACAGCTTGTTTAAATCGTCGCCTGTTTTGCAGTTACAATGTCCGGGAAGACCGAGACGGCAACAGCGCTTGGTGCGGCCGCCGGAGCAGCTGGATTTGGAGCTTCTGCGGATACCAAAACGGCGTTACCACAACCGGTTTCGGGTGCACCAGCAAGTGGAGCCAAGGGTGGTCCACCGCCGGCTGCTGCTGTTGACGCAACCAAAACCGCTATGGCGGCACCATCTGCTGCTGATGCTAAAAGCACCAAGACCGCTCTGGCATCACCAACCGCTGCTGCTGGTGCTGGTGCCGGCGCTGGCGCTGGTGCTGGTGCTGAAGGTGGTGGCACCGGGGCTGGTGCGGACGCGAAGGGCGCACTAGTGCCAGCTCCTGTATTAAAGGATACCGGGGCCGGAGCTGCTGTTGAGCAGTACATATCGGCAATGCTGCAGCCGGATGCGGGCGGTGAAGTTCTGAAGGGTGGGCCCAGCAGACCTACTTCGGAGGTGGTGTCCATGTTTGTCGCTGCCCCGGTCGGAGGAGGAGGAGGTGTGCAATCGTATCAGTTGGGCTGGGGACCAGGAGCCGGAGGTGCTGGCGGTCAAAAAGACCTGAAATTCGCGTTCGGCAATACGATGGATCAGCTCGGTAAGTTTTTGCGTTCTTTGAAGAGTGGATACGGTGCCATGAGATCAGGTGTGAATTGTACTCCTAAAAACTCACTGTATTTGTGCTCGGCGGTAGTTGCCCTTTCGATAAGAAAAAGAACCTCAGAAGATCGTAGTTGAAATATGTATTTTCATAGATTATACTTGCAAAACATATGTAACGCTTGCTAGCAGCTATGAGGTGCTGGTGGCTACCAACCCAGGCTTATCAAAGAGGACACCGAATTACACCAAAAAAAACTCCACTAATTTCAGTGAAAAAACGTTTCCTGCATGTCGTTTCGTATGCAAACAAAATGGGTGGAAAGTACTGCCATACTTCTTAATACCTAAAATATGTAACGGATAGAATGTAGGAAGCATATTCATGCATGCTTTGTAAAGGAGATAATTTTCGTGGTGCCAGGCTAATTCTGTGGTGGAATTTTTATATGGATGATGCATACTGCTTTGGATTCTTGAGTGACAGATACCCCCCTCGTATGAAATGCACGAATTGATTCCATGATGAAATTTAAATGCCATGAGGATGGTGTATCAAAGCGTGAACGATGAAAAAATAAAAATATTGTAGGCTGGGATATGAAAGTTGGCAGAGGTGTTTTTTTTTTTTTTTTTTGATTGGCTTTCCTGAACTCATTAAGACCTCAATGGGGAATATAC